TAGTTGCTATGACGAGAAGTGTCAACCTCAGGCACACCTGAATGGTTTAGTGAGTGATACGTTGACATTGTCCATCTTAAGAATCAAGCTTGTACCGTTGTTTTCCATTCTAAAAACCTACTAACAAACCGTGAAAATGTCTTCCAGGTGTGAGCTACCCGCTGGCAAGCATTCATATACTAGTAGTTGAAGCAGTAGCTGGGGAAACCGGGGGATTCTTCCTGATTGATTATCCACAACTGACACAAGAGGTCACAAATACCATAACGCCATACAACACGAATTATACTTCTATAGATCCGTATGTGATGGTGACACTGGGAGTGGAAATCTACGTCTTTGAAAAGCACATGAGCATTTATGGATACAGTGGATATAGTGTGTTTTCTCCCCTCCCGGTCTCGGCCTTCGGTTCCAGTTATGTGGTGTCCACCTGCCCGGCTTCCATGGACCATGTAATGTAACGCTGATACTGGAGTGGAACGTCACCTATGACAACATGACATACAACGACGGAGACACGATTCACCTGAGTCTAGATGAGTAGAAGACCTTCACGTTGAAGAGCGCCTATGACCTAACTGGAACTGTTATCAAGACAACACATGCTGTAGGTGTATTCAGTGGAAAAATGATAGGAGATTATGGTCAAGCCATTGCACAACTATTACCTGTACGGCATCATGGGACAGAGCATCTTTTGTCTACACATGACTATATCTATAGTATGCACGCAACATACCAGCTAACATATAGACATGCCTGTATTTCTCAATTCCATATCTGGTTAGGACTGTGATTCACAGTAGGAGGTAAGATTAATGGTAGCGAATACAAGATAAAAGAACATGAACCTAGGGATCGCATGTTTGATATCTGAATGTATTTCTCAGTACAGCTGCTTACTGGACCAGACAAACAGTGATAACATTGTTCCTCTAACGTTATTCGTCACATCGAAACACAACGTGACAGTGCAACACACATATGAACATTTGTACATGCATGCTACCTCACACGCTTCTTGTCGGCGACAGTGGACAATGGGATGGCTGATAATACCCTCACAATACTGAACATATCAGTAAAGCGTTCAAAAGGTTTGCGGTGGCATGAGGATGATATTTCAAAATTTGACGCATCAGTGCCAAAAAGACGTCCGATGCAATTCCCCTTTGATTTGTACCATAAGTTCCAGAATGTTTCCGTTTGAATAATTGACTAGCAGATTTACCAGTAAAGCAGGATAAGCTTACCTCTTCGCAAAAAAAACCTGTTAGTATCACCATTTGATAGTGAATCATGCACAGGTACGTCGTTATTGTACAATTGACACTGCTATTGGCCGGGATATCTTGTAGATGAGGACAGGGTTTGTTCCTTTCATTATACATTCTATTGCAATAAAGAAGAGGGGTCCTTTCATCACAGAACTTCATCTTGATATGACATGAAACTAAAACATATCTGTTCAAAAAGTAATCCATGAATGACGGAAATTGTGTGCAAAGTCACTGATATGGAGATGATGACGTCATCCACTAACGTCAGGTTTTGGCAGGAGGGGATTTAAAAGTCCATTGGCCAAATGCCCCCTTTCCAAAGGCAACATAAAGCATTATTGCTGTCACAACACAGGCACTTGCTCACAACAGCTTATCAAACTTGATGAAATGGATCAATTTCACACCACAGTCATTGTTGAATGGAGTAAATGAACAGTTTTTTGAAATTTTATGCTGAAACGTTTGATTCCAAAGTACAATAAGAGGTATCTACATCACATTTAAAAACAACCCAGTCGGTTTATCTCCCAATTAGAACTCGTATGTTGGGAGTTAAACACATTGTCCAGCATGCTCACAACACATGTAGATGGACATTAAAGTTTGTTGTATTCTTATATGCTACCATACTTACACTATATTTAATATCAGTTAGTGTTCCTAATAAAACGTTTCAACATAAGATTCAAATTGAGTTGTTGATAACGTACATAATTACATTTCTCCGACATTCAGCTGACACGCGACGTTGTAACCGAAATACTGTTCAAAGCGGCAGTAACCTATCTCACTCACTCACTCACATTTTAACAGGCTAAGAAAATAGGAGAGAGATCAGGATGTATATTATACTTGTATTTGAGAACTATCTTCTGTGTGCACACCGGGTTTTACGTCTTACCTTCATAAATGCACCTATAGCACATTATTATATTGTATTATATATATTGTTCTATTTGATAATATCGTTTAAAATTAGCATGCTAGTTTTTACTTTAATATCTGTCATATACTAGTAGTTTTATTTCTAATTGTAGAATAACAATAATTGTTCCCGTCACGATATGGCTGAAATATTGCCGATGTGACGATAAATATTAACTCACTCACGAATGCACTATATATTGACGTGAGGTCTTACACATAAAAAGGTCACTTTTAATCGACATAATTGAATTGGATAATGATCTTGCTACTGGCCAATGCGACATCGTCTTTTGTTGGTTATCCAGCCACACTGGCATTTCGGGGAACACAATGGCCGATTTTGCTGCCAAGGCAGCACTCAACAAATCTGTGACACCATTTCTGATCCCATACTCTCATTGCAAAGCTGCTATTAGATCTTATATCCGTTATCTGATGCAAACGAAGTGGGACACCCAGGAAATAAAGCCCTGGGTATTAATAAATTACATGAAATAAAACCCTATATTGGTTAGGACCTACTTGGGTTGTCAGTCAGATTTGAAGAGGTCATTATGCGACGATGTCGAATTGGCCATCAAGATATACTCATGAATACCTGTTAAAAGGTGAGGATCCTCCGTTTTGTATCTCTTGTGATGAAAGAATCACAGTCAAAGCATATCCTGCTTGACTGCATAGATTTTTTTTGTATCAAAAAAGAGATAAATATTTCAGCGTTAAAACTGTTAAGAATCTTTTTATTCTTGATTATCATTTAATTATTGAAATTTAAAAAGAAATTGAACTTCTTGATAAATTTTGATTGATGTGTTTGTATATAGATATATATTTTATTATTGGTAGTTTAAATTAGCTACTTGTTAGTGGCGGTATCCTCAAAGGGGTTAAAGTACTGTAAAATTATTGTCCTCCTGAGAGGATATGTAAGTCCCAATACATTTGAGGTAAATTTAGTTCTACCAAACTTTTAACCGTAGTATATTTGTTGTTTTTAATAATGGCTAAAACTCAGTACAATCGCCAGCGGCTGAAGGGATGGTGTAAATCCAGCTAGGGTCCATGCAGGTAGCAAAAGTAATGTAAGTCCCCTTGGACCCTAGTATGCTGATCTAACTTCAGTTGTTGGCGATCTATAGTCTGTTTTAATTTTTTGTATTGTCCAAATAATGCTATTAGTTTTAACTTTGCATGCTAGTTTTTTAAAGTTCTAACTGTGATAGTCTAGTTGTTTTACTGTCCTTTGACGACAGGTTTTATAATATATACATATTCTTTATAAACGTCAAATTTTATCCCATCACGATATGGCTGAAACATACCGATGTGACGTTAAATACTCACTTACGCACGCACTCACTCACTCACGCTCCTCACTCCTCTCACTCACTCACTCCTCACTCACTCACTCACTCACTCACTCACTCACTCACTCACTCGATGAAGTAACTTCTATCTTAAACTGCATCATGCAGTGTAAGAGGAAACTGTCCTATCTATCATGTAGTGCTTAACGACTGGCAGCTTTGTGTGTCAACAGGATCAGCCACATATTGGGAAGCCCGTGTCAAACAGACATAGACGACGACGTATGGAGTTCAAATGTAGTTCCTGCTTGGTGGCCTCACTTGCATATTTATGGAATGGTGATACAAGGTTTCCTGCTTGCTTTACACGCCGAGAACACGATCTATTATGGTAAATCTCGTTATGGGTGTAACTAAAGCTACATTTGCTACAATTGCTTTGTGTGGTGTCTGTCGTGCTGTGTTAACAGAACATAGAAAATGTGTTTGCGTGATAGATAAATAGGTTTGTGTCACAGAAATGTGGCCCTGCTATGAATTTTCTCCATCGAAAATAATGACACGGTATACTATTTATTATTGTTGAAACGTTTCGATAACACTTTGCCGAGATCATATATTAGTCGCTGTGAACCCATGAATACAAAGAACCATTCAGAGAGTGGCCAGATGAAACTTATGTTGCATTTAAATATGTGATGACACTTTCTAAGTAAAGAACAGATTCTTTTTGGTTAAGTCCCACGAGGGATTCGAACCCACACAGTCTATGTGTACAAAACCAACAGCATGTGTACCATGCGTGTGCAGTGTTTTGGTCCGGGAGACCCAACCGGCCGCAGTTAAAAAATGTCATGGTGGGATATCGTGGAGGTTAATATTGTTTAACGCTGCATTAATCAACAACATTATGTAAGCGTGTGAATAATTGCGTCTAGATCAAGCGAACCAGTGACAGATTGTTTGAACAACCAGTCGTGAGCATAAGCTATAACCCATCTGTATTGTCGAATCTCATGAACACAATGACGATATTTTAGTGTGCGTTTCGGTACACATTACAGTAATTTGTAACAGGAATATTATTATGATTTTATCAACAAATGTCAACTAGTTACATTTAGAGTTACCTCCCTTCCTTGTGAAATAGATTCCTTGAAAAACTTGATTGTGATTTTATCAACAAATGTCAACCAGTTACATTAAGAATAACCTCCCTTCCTTGTGAAATAGATGATAAAAGGTAATAGTAACACTAAAACCAGAATCGTCGCTAACTATGTCAAATCCTCCTTCAAAGCAATATCAAGCCCCATTTGCCTGGATCAGTTTGAATCCCGTCAATCTGAACCCCTGTTAATCCAACCCAAACCGTCTGACTCCCTAGGAGGCGCTCCCCCGTTATTCTGACACTCCGTACCCTCTCAATTCGAAAAACCCTGGCGATGAGAACTGTACACTCCGCTTATGTAGGATGTAGTGTAGTATAAGCGTAATAAATCATCTTACCTTTGCAGCAACACCTGTACATTATGATGACACGTGGATCGTGAAGAGAAGAAAATATAGTTCAACAGATTAAATGTACACAATGTCATGAAGTATTATCAATCTAAGTGTTAGTTTGTTGTATGCCATTGGACACGCATGTGTACAGCGATCTCTACAAACTGGAGAACCTGTCTCCACCTTCCCCAATTATTTGTTGCATCCAGCTTCTTTACAACCGATTTATTCCAACAACAACAGCTCACACATCGGTAGTTCATAGAAACAATTACAGTGTTGAGAAATCTTGGTTGATGCATGTCATCATATTCCACTTGCGCAGATCGATGCGCATAAGAACAATCACTGGACTGTCCGGTCCAGATTTGAGTGTGGCGTTAAACAATAAACAAACAAACACACACATAGAAATGCTTCATTGTTATACAATGTGAGCAAACAATCAACATCAAAGATTAAACAATCATATTTTTACGTAAAGTTTTATAGCGCCAGGTTCACAGAGAATGTACATCACTGGTTTTCAAAGTTACAACCATTTCACATCCTCAAGCTCATGTGTCTTGGAGAATCTACAACATAAACAAAATGTACACAATAAACATGTAGGACTGGAAAATGTTTTTGGTCAACAGATAACTGTGCAATTTTATGTAAAGACATTGGACAAAAATAGAAAATGTTTCACATAATTTTAATAGATGACATACGAGAAAGGAATGGTAACTGACAACTCTTTATCTAATATCAAAGCTGCTTCGAGTTACGAAATGTACTTAGATATTTTACATGGGGTCTTAAAGAATAACTCGCCATGCTCAGAATATCTGCTCTCACGTTAGAAACAGAAAGTGTTCATTATGCTGATATTACTAGAGACTGCAGATATTGTAGATTGTAGACTCTCTGAATTTAATTTAATCAATGATTAGTTTCATTATCTGCAAATATATCCAAAGTAATAGATTTAGATATTTTACTGAATATGTCTGACACAAACCAAGTGAAGATAAATTAAATAGTTGCTAAAATGTAATCGTATAACTAAAAACATAATCACCGCTAAGTATATCAAACCCTGCTTCAAAGCAATCTCAAGATCCATTTACCTGAATCCCGTCAGTTTGAACCCCATCAATCTAAACCCCTGTCAGTCCAAAACCACATCAGTCTGTCTCCCTGGGAGGCACTCCCCCGTTAGTCTGAATGCCTGACATTCCGTACCCCGTCAATCTGAAAAACCCTGGCGATGAGATCTAGAGGCTCTTCTGATGTAGGGTGTAGTATAACTGTAATAAATCATCTTACCTTTGCAGCAACACCTGTGCATTATGTATCACAAGTGGATTCCGGAGAGATGAAAATGTTCAGTAGAAGTAATGTACAAATATCTGATAAATTATTATTAATGTTACTGTTAAAGAATGGTCAGTTATATATTCTACTACTATAATAGTTATACCATTCTAATACTAATATTATATGGTAAGATTTAACACAGCAAGGCAAAATCGTAAGGCCTATGTGCTATGTTATTTGAATATTTGATGAATGTGCGTAATGAACACTTATGGATGATGATAAAAGTGAAAGTATAAAGATTGAAGCATTTAGTTATATATTCTACTACTATTACAGTTATACCATTCTAATACTAATATTGTATGGTAAGCTTTAACACAGCAATGCAAAATCGTAAGGCCTATGTGCTATGTTATTTGAATATTTGATGAATGTGCGTAATGAACACTTATTGATGATGATAAAAGTGAAAGTTTAAAGATTGAAGCAGAGAGATCCACAGCTGAGAATGGTAATAACAAGCAGCTAGACGTCTCTTCAACCTTGTAACCTTATAGGATGACCGTTATATAAGTGTAATCTTTTTATACAATCAAACAATTCTTGCAAATATACTGTTCACTAGGGCAACCTTATAGTTAAAGCTTTCGCTCGCCACAGTTGACACTTATGGATAGGGATAGGATATTCTATATGCGGTCTTGTTAGCGTAGATAAGCTGGTGAAGATTGACGATAGAAAAGGTGGATATAAAATCAATTCTGGGGTTAGAGGTCAGTGACAAAGAGTGACAAACGCTGCAGGAAGTGTACAACAAGTGAAAGATGATATAACTGATCTTTGAACGCATGCATCCCCTTTCATTACTTCACACACAAACAATTCTCTCAGGATGTACCCTGAATGTTATCAACATGTAAATAGTCAAACTGTGAGGAAAACATAGTAAAAACCCAATTCACACAGTGACCGCAGTTTAAATATTGAACATGTGAAAAAGACATTGTAACTGTTCAATACACACGTAATGACAAACATTTACTTGATCTAATTTCCATTTACACTTCAATGACTAAAGTTGCTGACAATTGTGGCAATGGAGCCGTTCCTGTCAGAAATCCATTGACACATTTGTACATTTCTTCGCTCCTGCATTTGAAACTACACATAAAATCATACTAAATGTATATATCTGTTTGAAGTGAAGATTCACACAGACTGTATTTGCATCTATGCGTATTTGATATATCTACTAATACATAAAATATGTATACCTAAGGTTTGCTTTGTTACACTGAAACATCTAACGTGTCCTAACCAACACCTTTTCAAATTCAATACAAACATAAATCTGCAGAACACACAGTTCCACGCTGAAAACATTTATCTATTGCCGTTTATCTCCTGCAACAACTTTTATTATTTTTTCAAAATCAGACTGCAACTAACCTGCAGTAGCACGTGTGATTGGTGGATCAGCTGGGAACTGGTAGCCTCCATTAAAAATGTCTGTGATAAACCCATACAGAGCGAATCTGTTGGTAGAGCGGACCAAGTAAAGGCCGTTTGAACAAGTTGTTCCCACTTTGTAATCACAGCCAGGATTGTTCACCCAGCTCACTGTAGCAGGGGTCATGTCACCACTAAATACTTCAATATCTGTCACGTGTTGTTTAGTCAGTATGTTTACACAGCGTGCAGTATATATCCGTGCTTTGTTAAGGAAATACTTAACAGGTGTAACAACAACAAACCCCTGAAATATTGTGTTTGTGTGTTTTCTACACAAGGTTGCGATGACAGGTCTTGTGGTATTAAAGTGCAGTGTCTCGTCGTACAGGAGGTTTTGGCGAAACACACGGATTTCACCAAGAGAGAATGTAGATCCATTGTTCAACATAATTTCAGTGACAGTCTGGTCACTGACAACTTGCAGCTGGTATGTAGAATCCCTTACAGAGGAATGGTCACGTGTAGACAGAATAAACTCTCTGTCGTGATGTCGTATAGGTAATAGTTGTGCAAAGGCTTGAACATAACCTCCTGTCATTGCTCCACTAAACACAGCTACAGCAAGTGTTGTGTTGATAACAGTTCCAGTCAGGTCATAGGTGCTCTTCAATGTGAAGGTCTGATACTCCTCTAGACTCACGTGAATCGTGTATCCGTCGTTGTATGTCATGTTGTCATAGGTGACGTTCCCCTCCAGCATCAGCGTTATGTCCATGTCCGTCTTCTGGTTGTAGTTAGCAATCACTAACACCACATGCTCCGTGGAACCCAGACAGGTAGACTCTAAATACCTGGAGCCGAGGGCCGAGATCGGGAGGGGAGTAAAGACACAAAGTAATGGTATATGTAAACGCTGATGTCCTTACCGAAGACGTTGATGACACCAGTTTTGGTTTCCACACTCGTAGTAAACGTTACCTCCCCAACTAAAGCAGTATTATTTCTACTGTAATGAGCTACAGTCCTTTTGACGTTGTATCCCAGCTGTAGATCAACCAGGAAGAATCCCCCGGTTTCCCCTGCTACTGCATCAACTGCATTCATGTGTGCCAGCAGGCAGCTCACACCTCGGAGAAATTGACATGGTTTGTTAGAAGGTGCTTAGAATGGATAACAATAGTGCAAACATGCTTCTTACGACTGACATTGTCAGTACATCACTCACCAAAGCATTTTGTGTGTCTCATGTTGTTAAACATTATTTTGATGTGTATACAAACTAGGGCTCCGTACCTTAAAGAGAACGTAGCGCTACGACTGTCGTAAGTCTATGTGAAATTATGGGACTTACGATCATCTTAGGGTTACGACAGCTTTGAGGAACAGGTATGTGCTAACATGATTGCTTTCTAAAAGACTTAGATTATTGATTGTCAAACGACGATAGTTACTCCACCACATACATATATAATACATACATAGACGAATTCGATACGCTATGAGGCATTATGTCGTATGTGATTGGTTTATCTGGTGTTTGTTTTCTTTGATTGCAGGTTATGTCATTTACTGGACAAAAATAGTTAGGGATATATGTAAATTTTTAAATTATGAATAATGATCTATTTATTCATTAACACATTAATAAAATATCAATTATAAAAACACCAATATCCCTAACCTATTTTGTCCAGTATATTTTGTGCGACCTGGAAGACATTTGATTAGAAATGTGCCAATGGCTTTGAAAGTCTGAGTGTTATTTAATGGGTCGAGGGGCATTTGTAGTGTTAGGTGGGTGTTAGTGTTCAGTAAACTCAGGAACACTTTTCTGTGTAGTGTGTTCTGTGTTGGAGAACACTGTTGTAGGCACTGACAATGGAATGACGTTGTTATATCCAGAAACTGTGATCCTTTTGAGAGTTTGTGTAAACTAAGCAGACTCTGGGAACTAGTTTGGTAAATAAGCATACACTTGACAAAATCTCTCATATTATTCATGTTGGTTGTAAAAGGATTGAATCCAGTGATTGTAGTTGTGGAATAGTAGCTTCTGATATTGTAGAACATGTCATAATGTCTTGTACAAGTTTCAATATTCTGAGAAATGAAATATTTGAAAGGATATATGATTATATCAATGTCTGGTTTTTTTCAATTTTGGGAAAATGATCAAGATGAAATAATTGCTGATTTGCATGGTGGATCTTGTACAACATTTGGTAATTCAAATATGACAGAATGGGAGAAGGATATGTTATAAGTGTCTGATTTTATGACTGTCACATAGAATTATCTTATGTTTGACAGAATTGTTTAAAAGACTACTTTCGTTATAACTGTTTCCATCTGTTTATGTCGAGGTTAGGTTGGGGTTTACGTCGCCTTCAACAGTGTTGCTCTTACATGGCGACCCGCATGCACTCGAGTGTACTATCATTAGCCCTGACATTTGTGTACTAACTCCGAACTGACCAGGTTCCGTTTATCACCTGTAAGCCGAGCTCAAGGCAGGGACACACCAAATTCCATCTTTTAGCGTCTCTAGGTATGATAGGCCCAGGTGATCAAAGCATAAGACTTTCGCTCACAAACGAACCCAAAAGAACTGTAGACAGACATGTACAAAAAGCCAAGAAGGTTGACAACATAACGATACAACTGAATGTCACCACGAATTTAGCTTTTATTTTGGCATAATGTTATTCCTATTGTAGTGACGTGGATAGGCCAGAAAGAACAGGTACTGAGACCAATGAGCATTCTGATTACATCTCCCAGACGATGTGTGCAGCACTCGCCATATTGTACTCAGCATATTGCTACTGTGTCAGGTAATAGTGGGTTCGCAAAATCTCTTTCACAGGGTTTCGTTCATTTGACTTGCGTGTGTTGTGCAACAACTAATTTCATAAGCTGACTGCAGCATACACACATATGACTACAACAGCGCGTATCGGGTATTCATAGCCATGATTCATAGCAGGGAACACAATTAGGGGAATCAAAACCAGGTAGCTACATGGGTTTGACATCAGAGAATCATACAGAAACAAAACCCGCGCGTTGCAAGTTAATTTAGAAAACGTTTAAAACACTATCGATACAATTTACCCTTTCTTGAAAACTGTAGGTAAAGGGTATAGAAATGTAATTTAAATAAAAAACCTTGAATTGTTTTAAAAGCGTACGAATTCGCCAAAATATAGCATACCGTGAACTCTTTCAAGAGCCACCATGAGAAGCGCCACCTCTATGGAACGCCCCATTGTCTCAGAGCTGGGTCTGTACCGCATAGTGCCGTGACGACGCCCCGTTTGACAGGGTGTGGACGCATCATCAGGTATAAATACATTACAGGTGATTTTGTGGGATTTGATTGAATAACCAAGCAACTCTATGATTTTGCGCAAATACCGAAAAAGACATAATGCCACGAAATACTGTTTCCTAGTTGATATTGTTGCAGCCTTTATTGAATTAAACGGTGTGACTATATTTTTGGTGTGTTAGCAATTGGACAGGCAGTTTTGTGAAATGTTAAGAGTTGATTTCAATCTATGTTATCACGTTATTGACGTAATTATTTTATTCTAAGATACACAAACATACATCACGTGAGCTCGAGCAACTGTTAGCCAAATATGGATGTTGAAATACAACTGTATGAATAACCTATGTATACATCGTGTCATTGCTTTTCCTGGCAAGTGTTCAACGTTTACCACTTTGGTGAAAGCAACGAGCATGGGTCTGGTTCTGACACACCTAGAAACAAAATCGGGGTTAATCGGGATTCGGACCAACGATCACTGGTTCCTGGTGGACCAAGGTACACAACTCTGTTCAGTGAATTCCTTTTGCTTACATGGCAGTGCCACAGGTGTCGCAGAGGGAACATGGTGTTTCAATATTGGATGATTTGTCATCAAATATGTTATTTAAGGAAGATTTTGTTTCCACAACTTTAATTATTATTATAGGGTATTTATATAGCGCAGATATTCATGTATCAAGTACATGCTCATAGGCGCTGACATTTCCCCTCTATCACTGGATGTCAATCTCAACGGCACGTCGTACTATCAATCTCAACTTTCATGTTGAAAATTAACAGAAGGACGAGTAACTGTTTTGAGAACTTGTATGTATGGTAGCAAATAAGAATATTTAAATATAAAAAAATTGTAAAACAGCGCACTGGGTGTGTATTGAGCGTGCTAGACACCACGTTGTTAAGTATACCTTGTGAAAACAGGGTATACGCCACCCATAGAAACAACATCCATCCTCGATCAGACAGGGTATTATGTGTCTATTCTACCCTGATAAATCCTCGAAACCATCATCTGCAACTGCTGCGTTTCAGAAGTGACGTCATCATCTCCATATCAGTAACTTCACACAAAATTTCCAAACCGAACACTTGTTATGGCGTCGAGTTATATAACCCATGTAAAGATGAACCTTTGTAATGAGTCGAGCTTCTTTATTGTAATAGAATGGATGCATGACACACTGGATGGCAAACGCAGCAAATCTCCACATCCACAAGGAATATTTGCCAAAACAGTCAGTTGTACGATTTCGACTTCATGTGACCGTCTGCTATTTATCAATCCTTATCAAATGTGATGACACCAAATGTTCCCGAAAAGGTGAGCGTATCCTGCTCAAACAGCGCACTTGTCATAAACACATGCAAAGGCTAATCAATTGTTCACCCAGAACTAATTGGTAAGTATAGTTCAAGTCAAAATAGGGAATCACACGGGACATCTTTATTGTCACTGGTGAGTCACATCACGAACATATCTCTACGTGTCTATCTTAAAACGTTTAGAAGGCTTTATTCAGGCCTTGCCAGATGTAAGAGTAATATTTGCCCATTCATTCTCCACTATCGCCGGGTACAATGCATGTATAAATTGTACTGTACAGTCACATTGTATATCAATGTAACGAGTCCTTTATAGGTACAATGTTATCACTATTGGCCTCTTCCAGTGAACAGTTGAACTGAGACCAATAGGCATATATGAAACGTGATCAGTAAGTTTCCTCTACTTTACGTGGCAGCATACTTTGTTATTATTTAATCTTTCTTCATAGTGTGAATCACAGTCCTAATCTGACCCTGTCTCGTTCCACCAAACGAACTTTGCTCGACGATTGCTGCAAGTCTGTATTGGTTGGTTGGCTGGTTGGTTGTTTAACGCCACACTCGGCAATACTCCAGCTATATGGCAACGGTCTGTAAATAGTCGAGTCTGGACCAGACAATCCAGTGATCAACAACATGAGCATGGATCTACGCAATATGGATACGAAGAAATGTGTCAACCAATTAAGCGAGCCTGACCACCCGATCCCGTTAGATTAACGACAAGAATGGGTAACCGAAGATCAATTCTAACCCGGATCTTCACGGGTTACAATTTTGCATTTGGGCATGATAGCTAAGATCGTCGTTGCGCTAAGATTGTTTTACGGAAACGGTCCTTGGCACTTTGTGACTAAATGTTATAAAAAACAACATTTTGGTTGTCTCGAACTACAGATATGTTTAGTTACGATATTAACACGTGCTGGTGAAGTAACATAAACAAGCTTGGCAGACCAGTGACATCTGAATAGCATTGTACCCAGGGCTTTAAGGTAAACTTGTGACGCAGAAAGAGAATCGGTAACATTACTATCTGCTGATAAGTGTTTTTGTCAACATGATACAAACACAATTTGATATTTCTTCAATAATGGAAAAACATGATTTTTCCTCTAGAAGTGCTATATTTAGAAACGAGGATAACATGTTATCATTACTATTATCCGTGATCTCAAGATCAACACGTGACATTTAACGTTTCGGCAGAAGCAAGCTATGAAAACTAAATGCAGAGTTATGGCAATAGATCTAGAAAATGAGTGTAAATAATCATAACGATTCGTTTTGAAAGTAGTATTATTAGTAGTATTTAGCTAGTGGTGACGTTAGTCCTTACACATATAGATGTTATATTCAAGTGAGATTTATCAACACTAACTCTTGTTTGGAACGATGACGTTTATGGCGGGAGTCAAGGAGGAAATCGATATCAGTTTTTGAACTTTTCTTCCTTGATCATTTCAAAAGCATATCTGGCTTTAGTGTTTCAGCAATTGTTTCTCATTATAAGATGCAAGCTGTTGCTGTAAAAACTAACAAAGTTCCATTTTTCAAATCCTTAGTTTTAGGCTGTTCAATCTTGCCATTTATTGTAAAACTCGAGAAAAAAGACCTTGGTCGACTAAATATACATGACTTGAGGTGAAATCTTTTTCTTTTTTTATGTGAATATTATTGAATTTGAGAACACTCCTTTGACGTAATGACCGTGTTATGTTCCAGTACGCACGTCTTCTGGTTGTCATACAATAGGTTAAGTTTCACAATGAAATATTCCATATGAAACAAGTGAAATGTAATATTCGTCAGGCCTGTTACATCAAGTTGTAAAGGGTCCATGTGACGTTTGTTGGAGGTAATTATATACAAAGTGAAACTATTGACTGTCAGACTCCTTGAACAGATAATATGTGCATGACGTACATGTTATTTGAACAAACACGAGGGTAGCATCGTGGTTAAGTGTTCGCTCGTCATACCAAAAGCATGGGTTTGATTTGCCTCCTGGATACTCTAGGTAATCCTGAATCGTTTTTCCTTTCTGGTGTTGAACCACTTCTTTATTCGGGTGATGCGACGTGTCTATACAGATTCTTGTATCGTTGTCAAGCAGGTGATCCAAGAATCTGAATCGAAACGTCACCTGCTTGACCATACAAGAATCTGTATCGGAAAGTCGCATCACCAGAAAGTTTGTCCTTATTTTTCTGGTGTTCACTAGTGATTTTTGTGTAGACATTGTGATCATGTGTGCAATACTTTTAGCAATTTTACGGATGTACAATAACTGGTTTTTATTATGTCAAATTCCAATATTGTTAATTTTACTGCCAAAACGTGCAAACTGTTGCTTAAAAAACATAATCAAATTAACAAATATTTCTACCCTTTATCGTCCTTTTACCATATTAAGCCTTTATTGTCACTGCTATTTGTGTATATTATGTATTTCATGGTGTATGTTTATGTCTGTTCTTAATTAAAAGTTGACGATAGTCTCTCATAACCCTAAACGGGTGGCTCATTTTATGTATATGTGTGTATATATCTGTACTTTTACATGAGGTGAGACTTAAATAAAATATGTGTCTGTCTGTCTGTCTGGAACCAACCGAACAAAGTACTTGCATCTGTTCTTCACTGAGAAGGTGGTATCTAAATAGTCAGGGATGTTGTAAAAGAAATTGGTTGATATTGGTTTATATAATGTCAATAACAACATTTGTCTTAAAGCGTACTGTGTACCGAATTACATACTCACAAAATGTCAGAGTTATTTCAATGTGGAGTCTGTACAATCTGACAGAGAACGTCCAGACATGCCACAACAGTCACACCTCCCTCCACACACACACACACACACACACACACACACACACACACACACACACACACACACACACACACACACACACACACACACACACACACACACACACACACACACACACACACACACACACACACACACACACACACACTCCTACCTGTATATTGCATATGAGGTGAGTATGAAATAAATAATCTGTCTGTCTGTCTATGATATTTTCTGAATGTGGTGTGAAACAAATGCACTCAGTTGAAAGCTTCCAGATAGTTAAGATGCAACAAGAACTCTTCAACACACCAGACACTTGTGAGACAAAACTGACAAGATGGTAAATAGTATACAGGTAAAGATGTAGTGCAGCATTTGTTCACAATAGGGAATGCAGATTATTACCCTCACCATAAATACCATATATTAGAACGAATTGTATTGTCTTTGAACACTTTGTATTATTCAGCCTGTTACAACTGTGTCTGTTTTTGTCGATTTCAGATACTGGTTATACCCTGGCGTTGACTTTTAAGATGTATTTATAGAACGGAAACACACTCAGCCAATTCGCTCGATGAAGTAAGTGTAGACACTGTGTATAAATACAGTGTCAGTGTAAATGTCCCGTTTATCTTTTTGCGCCAAGCAATATGCAACTTTCTGTGGGAACAGAATTAGCCACATTCAGCCAAACACCATCAAATATTAGTGGGAAAGTTAGTCAGTATCTGACTGAACTAGCACACATTGCAGCGATGTATGGAGTTCAAATGTACTTCCTGCAAGGTGACCTTATTTGCATATTAATTATCTGGTGATACCAAGTTTACCGGATTGTCTTTCCTCATCGATAACACCGGGTAACACTATCTATTAAGGTAAATCTAGCATCGACGGTAACTGAAAGTACGATTGCTACAATTGCTCCCTCTGGTGGCTATTGCGCATTTTAAATTGAAAACATGTTCACGTGTGAGTCTGGTGTTGACATGTTGAGCTCCATGTCCGGACTGATTTTGTAATGATTTTGTAACACTGGGCCATGAAGGTAAATTTGTTGCTACGAAGCCATGATTACACAAGGTCATCTTGTGAGAGGTAAAATGTAACATGGACATCACTGAATTTTGTTTGCTTCGATGAATGCTGATGTCACTGAATTATCTGGTCCAGTGGGAATTTTGTGAACGAATCATCTGGAGTCACGCTCGTTGTTAGTCAGGCTGTTGTTTTTCGAATCCCCGACTGCCATCGAGCCGTCCTGGGTTGGGATAGTTTCTTATCCTCCACGTTCCCTGAAAGCCACTGACACCCGGCCTGTAGAAGTGCCCCGCTTCAGAAAGCTATCGTAGTGCTACGACTGTCGTAAGCCAGTGTGATAGTAAAATAGGTATAGCAGTCGTAGCTACGATAGCTTTGTGAAGCGGGGCCCTGTGGCCAGAGCAACGATACCGTCGAGCCGAATCTAACAGCCGCCATGATACAGCTCACTATGGCTGATCCTCCACTTTGGCTGGTGAGTGAGCTTGGTTTCACACCGTTGTCAACAGTATTTCAGTTATATAACGGCTTCTCAGGTTGCTGTGGCAAAATGCCTGAAGTGATCCAGGTGCCAGATATTTACCACTTTGGTAAAACACACGTGCATGGGTGTGGCATATTGAGCCAACTCAGAAACATAATCAGGGCAAACCGGGATTCGAACCCACCACCATAAGTTTCTTGCAGGACACTGGACACATACGTGTACAGCGAATTCTAGCGCCACAGACGACTAGGGTCATATGTCATTTCCAAATTCGTTAAAACTGAAGTTGATATATTTTATCTGACGAGAGAAACTTATATTTCGGTAGAAACAAGCATATCCACTTCAAGATCCGCGGTTGGGTCGGGTCTTGAGCAGTCTAGGCTCGCTAACTTGGGTGATGCAGCCAGCGTATGCCATGTGTTTAGATCGATGCAAAGGATGTCTGTCAGAGGATGTTCTGATGCTGAGTCGTGTGCGGCGTAAAACAACCAAGAAACTCACATAGAAATGTTTTAATCTTATACTCTTAAATGAAACAATCAATATCAATGGATAAACAATCATATTCTTGTAAGTCCACATGGGATGTGTATCACAGAATTCCAAGTTTTGACTTTTCAAGCGCGACTTGTCCTGGAGACCTACAACATAAAGAAAATGTACGATATAAACATGTGGCATTACTACAACTAGAGAAGGGATATTGGTCAACAGATAATCAGGCAATTATTAAGCAAAGACATGAAACATAAGAAAAAATGAATATAACTTAAAATAATTCCATATAAGAAAGGAATGGTCCATATACCCATCACTCATCAAAACGTTATCTTTATGGTAATATCAACACTATTTTCAGTTACCAAATGTACCTAGACATTTCGCATGTGTACACTATGCTCAGAATATTTGCTAACAAGTTACAACTAGAATATGGCCGTTATGCTAATACAAATATTGCAATTTTGATGAACTATCTGAGGTAATTAATGGTTTTGGGGATGAGTATCATTTGCTGTTATTGTATGTCATTATTGTCCAACAGTTATATAATTATATTATTGCTGAATAATCTTCGCAATCTGGCGCAATCTTCGTGAAGATAAAATGAAACAGTTGTGTAAGGAAAAATAATAAACAACATGGACCCCTCGCAATACGGATTACGTCAATCTGAAGCCCTGTCATTTCGGACACCGTCAGTCTGAACCCCTGTCTATCCAAATCACGTCAGTCTGAACCCCTGTCAATCCGGATCACGTCAATCCGAGCCCCCTAAATCCATGCCAATTCCTGGATACAGTATTGAATACACGAATCAGGCTTCAGTTAGTGAAGAAGGTCCAGATGAGATCTGCCTCTGTAGGATGTACGAGAAGTGTAATACATCATGTTACCTTTTCCGCAACACCTGTACATTAATGTGGCAAGTAGATTGTTGAGAGAAGAAAATATAGTGCAGTTAATGTACAACAATCTAATACAATATTATTATTGATCAATGTATTAAAAATGTTCAGCTTCAAAAACTACTTCATAAAATTACACTATCCATATACTGACACTGCAAGGTAAGATAACACAAAGCTTTGAAACATGATATGCAATTCAAATATTTGTTAGATTACATGTTCAACATTACTGAATGATAATATAAGTGAGAGTATGAATAATGATTGAAGCAGAGAGATCCACAGCTATGTTAGTAACATGAAGCTAGAAGTCTCTAAAATCCTGAGGCACAACAGGATGACTATTATATTAATGGATGCAATGTTCTCGGGCATCTGCCCATGTATAAAATCTAATAAACTCTCTCAAAAAAGAAACGCAACCCCTGTTTTTTTTGGTAATGTTTATATCAATTTTAACTGGTTATTACATTTGTATTTTTAAAGATAATGCCATGAAATTTGACATGGTGAACCTTAGGTCAGCACGGTATAAGGTAACAGTTAATGCAGGTCAGTATCGAACTCTCAATTTACGCTAGGGGGCGTTGTCTTCAGTATCTCGTTGTAGAGCCACGAGCTCTAATCACAGCAGTGCACCTCCTCGGAACAGAACGAATCAGACGGCGGATGTTTCCTGGGGATTGCTCTCCACTCTTCCTGGAGTGCTGCGGCCAGTTCAACCAACGTGTGGTTGTGGTGTACGTGCACGAACACGACGATCCAGTTGGTCCCACAGATGTTCGATAGGATTGATGTCTGGCGATCTGGAGGCCACGGCATCACGTTGACGTTTGAATTCTGTAGGAATGCCACTGTTGCACGAGCTGTATGAGGGGGCGGGCATTGTCATGTTGAAACAACTCCTCTGTTGGTCGATTATCGGCAGAAGATGTGGCTGTAAGACCTCATCAATGTACCGTTGTGCCGTCAAATTGCCACGAATGATGACCAAGTCTGACCGTTGGTTATAAGACATGGCTCCCCATACCATGATGCTTCCTCCTCCAAATCTGTCGACCTGTCGAACGCAGTTCGGTGCAAAACGTTCATTTGCTCGTCTATAGACACGTTGTCTACCGTCACGTCGTTGAAGAAGAAAACGAGACTCGTCACTAAACCAGACTCTTCTCCAGTTTCTTAGGGTCCATCTCCTTACGTTAGTACACCACCTGAGACGTTGGCGTCGATGTTGGCGTTTCAAGACGGGCCCAACAACTGGTCTTCTTGCACGTAAATTTGCCTCATGTTAATTAACGGTTCCTGATGGTTTGGGCCGATACTCTCCTCAAACCTGGCACCTGTGTTGCAGTGATGGTGGGTGTGGCATGCCGATTACGTAGGTGGCTGGAGTCGAATAAAGCGATCCTGAGCCGGTGTGGTGATCCTAGGTCTACCGCTCCTGGGACGATCTTCAATTGCATGGAACTGTGTAACGATTCCAAAGTCGTGAGATTGTTGTTTTGTGTACGTTTAGATGACGGGCAACTGTTCCAAAGCTTTCCCCGGCCTCAATGCGACCAATGGCAATATTTCGATTTGCTGTACTCAAACGGGGCATTTTCAAACTTGATTTGCAGAGCAAATTATGAGAGAAAAATTACAAACTACGCGTGCTTTTATAACCCTCTACATGAACTGTGTTTTCAACGATTTGCACGTGCAACAGGCTTTTAGCATTTTGTACATGACAATTTCGCACTTTCTCAAATAACACGGATACAAAGGTCATCATGTGTGAAAATGGTTCCGTTTGGGAGCTTATACTGATCAGATGGGAACGTATTAACAGTATTTTGAAGAAAATTCTCATTTACATTCACCATCTTTATTCTAGAAATGATGTCAGATATTTAGATAGGGGTTGCGTTTCTTTTTTGAGAGAGTATATTTCTTACAAACATATTGGTCACTAGGAGAAACCTTATGGTTAAGCTTCCGCTGGCCACACTGAATACGTTTACTGATAGGGTATTTCTACATGTGGTGTTAAACATTTATCTCTCCAGTATGCAGACCGCACTTGCTTGTTATCTCCCGCCGCGTGTTTAGCGCGAAGCTGGGAATATAGTATTAGGCTCCGTCCGTCCGTAAGTACGTACGAATTGGAATATCTTAAGAACTGTTGACTAGATTCTTTTCATATTTGGTACTTAGGTTCATCACAGTATAATGAAGGTCCCAGTCAGGTTTGGTGACCTTGACCTTCATTTCAAGGTCACAAGGGGACATCTTGTCAGCAAGATATCTCAAGAACCGTTATCTAGATTTTCTTTATATTCAACACCAAGCTTCATCCAACAAAGGCGCAGGGCCAAGTCGATTTTGATGAACTTCGCTTAATTTTCAAGGTCACAGCGACACTTTGAATATTTCAGTGTGTTAACCTGCATGTTAAGATAGTCAGCAAGATATCGCAAAAAAGTTTCTCTGGATTTTTTTCATATTTGACATCAAGCTTCATCTAATGACGGGGCAGGGCACAGGGCTGTAAGCACCAGTTCAACCTTCGCTCCTTTTGTTCAGGTTTCATGATAGGTGATGGAATTCCTCGACTTTTCTGCCAACCCATTGTATGCAGCTCAGTTCTAATTGTCTCCCCACAGACAGCCACCCCCTCTATCAATCTTATCCAGCCTTAAGTTTTCTAAACGCCTTCGTTTGTTTTTAGAAACAAGAATACCAAGCCGCCTCCTGTCACCGATAGTTAATTTTCTGGGCCTACCTGTGCCTCCCTGGTGCTCAATGCCATATTCATTTGCAATATTTTTCAAAACACGATAAACAGTGGACAAAGGGATGCCCGTTCTACTTCAAATCACTTTAGCTCATCTGATGTCCTTGTTATAATACTCTGCAATCAACTTCCTCTTCTCTAAATCATCCATACTAAGGGTCACTGAAAATGTCGTCTGCTAGTAAGTAAACAAAAGAGGATAACTCTTCACAAAATAATTAAAAAGGATTAACGGAGTTGTCTCTCTTGAATGAAACCAAGCACTTGATAGCTGGTCAAGGCTGTTTATACTAGAAATCCAATTAAACACATTCCTAAAATTCTCAATAATTTCTGGTCATACTATAATTATGTTCAAGTTGAGTGTGCAAACGATTCAATGTATAAAATAGTTAAATAAAGCAGTGAAAGTCGGTAATATATATGAGTACATAGTGAACTAAATACAGCTAATTGGAAGGTGTTGAACTCCGTGCACTGCATGCGTCATATCATGACGTTATACGATTGTTAACGATACAGCTTCTCGGTGGGGAGTTTGGCGGTTACTGACCGTTGAAATTAAAGTATTTCACATGAAGGTAAGATAAATGGATATATTTCATCGCTCATACAGTTTGAATGACACAGCTGAATGAAATCATACTCAAAATAAATTTCTTTTATAAATAAAGCATCGTGTGTACCTGAATCAGGGCGTGTGGTTGGTGGATCAGCTGGGAAATGGTAGCCTCCATTAGTAATGTCGTAGAGAATCGCATACACAGCGAATCTGTTGGTAGAGCGGAAAAAGTAACTGTTGTAAGAACAAGTTGTTCCCGCTTTGTAATCACTGCCAGGGATGTCCACCCAGTCCACTGTAGCAGGGGGTCATGTCACCACTAAATACTTCAATATCTGTCACGTGTTGTTTAGTCAATATGTTTATACAGTATGTATGATATATCTGTGCATTGTTAATAAAATACTCAACTGGAGTTACAACAACAAACCCTTGATGATTTATGTCTGTGGTGATTGTACACAGGGTTGCAATGACAGGTCTTGTGGTATTAAAATACAGTGTCTCGTTATAATACAGGTTTTGTCGATACACACGGTTGTCATCAAAAGTGAATGTAGATCCATTGTTCAACCTAATTTCAGTGTCGATCTGGTCATTTACAACTTGTAGCTGGTATGTAGAGACCTTTATATAGTGATGGTCACGTGTAGACAGAACATACTCTGTACCATGATGTCGTACAGGTAATAGTTGTGCAATGGCTCTGACATAACCTCCTTCCATTCCCCCACTGAACACAGCTACAGCGCGTGTTGTGTTGATAACAGTTCCAGTCAGGTCATAGGCGCTCTTCAATGTGAAGGTCTGATATTCATCTAGACTCACGTGAATCGTGTCTCCGTCGTTGTATGTCATGTTGTCAAAGGTGACGTTCCCCTCCAGCATCAGCGTTATGTCCACGTCCGTCTTCTGGTTGTATGTAGCAATCACTAACACCACGTGGTCCATGGAACCCAGGCAGGTGGACACTACATACCTGGAGCCCAGGGCCGATATCGGGAGGGGAGAACACTTGCCATTTACACTGTATCCGTAAGTACTGATGTCCTTACCGAAGACGTGGATTATGACAACCTTGGTTTCCACACCCGCCGTTACCATTACAGACGGATTTATATCAGTATAATTCCTGCTGTATGGCGCTACAGTCCTTGTGATGGTATATCCCAGCTGTGGATAATCAACCAGGTAGAATCCCCCGGTTTCCCCTGCTACTGCTGCAACTGCATCAATGTTTGTCAGCAGGTAGATCACACCTGGAAGAAATGGACACGGTTTGTTAGTTAGTTTTGAGAATGGATAACAAACAGCACAGGCTAGCTCCTTACCATTAACTGTTTCAACGAATCACACATGTTTAACTGAAGCTGACAGATGATTTTAGCTTTTTAAATGGAGTAGAGTTTTTAGCTTCCGAGTTAAATCTTGATAGTTACTTTGCCACCGTTGGTATATGTTGGGATCCGAACTGACCAGTCTCTGTTTTTCCCCGCAATGTCAAAATCAAGACAGGGACACAACAAGTACAATCTTTTAACGTCTTTTGATATGACAAGGGCAGCGAATCAAAGCACTGACCTCTCATTCTCCCGGTTGATGGTTTACAACCCCCACCCCTTACCCCTCCAAGAAGACTGTAGATAGACGCCAGTATGCATTAACTTTGACTTTGTCAAGTATAACGCATATTGTTGTTCCTTTTGTAGTATAGATTTGTCCTCCGGCATTAAGCTGACAGGCCGTGATATAACTGACGTACTGTAGTATAGACTTGTCCTCCGTCATTAAGCTGACAGGCCGTGATATAACTGATGTACTGTAGTATAGGCTTGTCCTCCGGCATTAAGCTGACAGGCCGTGATATAACTGACGTACTGTAGTATAGACTTGTCCTCCGTCATTAAGCTGACAGGCCGTGATATAACTGACGTACTGTAGTATAGACTTGTCCTCCGTATTAAGCTGACAGGCCGTGATATAACTGACGTACTGTAGTATAGACTTGTCCTCCGTATTAAGCTGACAGGCCGTAATATAACTGACGTACTGTTGAAGGCGGTGTTAAACCTAACTCACTCACTCAAAGAAGATGCGGGTTTACCTATACCTTCTTCATTTCAGATCATAATCTTGCATGATTTAAAAGTGTGTTATGACTTAACATGTCGGAGAGTGATATATTTACAAAATGGCTCCAAGGAAATTCACTAGCCAGTCGGGCCAGTGACTGTGAGATTTACTGTCCCGACGGGATTTGTACTAGCAACGGGCTAGCAGGTCATTGGCTATTTCGCACACCGCGTAAAACTAACAATTTATCATAAAACAATAAATATACATGCAACAATACAATATAGAAATGGGCTATACATCGCCAACAATTGAAGGTAGATTACCATACAAGTGAGTGAGTGAGTTTAGTGTTACGCCGCACTCAGCAATATCCCAGCTATATGGTGGGGGTCTGTAAAAAACCGAGTCTGGACCAGACAATCCAGTGATCAACAGCATGAGGATCGATCTGCGCAGTTGGGAACTGAGAACATGTGTCAACCAAGTCAGCGAGCCTGGCCACCCGATCCTGTTAGTCGCTCTTACGACAAGCATGGGTTTCTGAAGGCCGGGTCGATTACCGTTGAAGAGGCCATGTGGACTTACAGTACTTTTGCTACCTGCATGGACTCTAGCTGGATGAACATCATCCCTTCAGATGTTAGCGATTTTGTTGAATATAACCATGATTTAGATTAACACATATCCTACCATTAAAAAACATAAATACAAATAAATAGACTGTGAATGACGTGGTCTTACGTATCCTCTGAAGGGACAAGTACTTAACACTGCTTCAATCCCCTTTGAGGATACAGCCACAAACAATCTCAGTTATCAATGTATTTGTCCAAACCTTAAAATAATGTATTATATACAACACATAATAATCAAAATGTGTGAAGCAACCCAATTTCTTTTAAAAAGCCTGTTATCAAACGAAAACGAAAACGAATGCTAAAACGATCCTTCATATTTGAAACTTTGAAACATGAATCCCTGTGATGGAAATATCCGCACAATCAAGCAGGACATGCTTCACGGTAATTCTTTCATCACAAGGGATACAAAATGGAGGATCTTTTAATGAATATTATTGCATATAGCGTGAATGGCCAATACGGCATCATCTTAAGACCTCCTCCCCAACCCTGGACTGACAACCCAAGTAGGTATGACCGATAGCTGGTTTAATATGATGTAATTTATTAACACCTACTTGGTGTCCCACTTCTGGTGCATTAGATCACGGATATAAGATCTAATTAAAGGTTTCTAGTCAGTGTAGGGCATCATAAGTGGTGTCACAGATTTGTTGACAGCTGTTTTTGCAGCAACATCAGCCATTGTGTTACCACAAATGTCAACAGGTTCACAGAATTGTATTTGGAACAATTTTACATAATGAATTTCACTGACACATAACAGTAATTAACCGCACCTCGCGGCACGAGTGATTCATTTCATAATTCATGCTTTGGTTTGGTTTCGAATCCAGTACTCCAGTTTCGCAAGAAATTATGAATATTCCCTGTATCATGTATACTCCGTTCTTGCATCATATGCTCGGCGTCATTAATGAAGGGTCAAGCTATTGGTAAAACTATTCTTAAAAGTTGTAAAATTTTCGTTTTTGTTTGAAATATGTAAAACTGAATGTTTTACTAGTGTGTCTATAGTGTGAAGGGAATCAAACTCAGGTGTGAAGGTGAACAGACAACGATATAACTACAGGGGTACATCGCAGCCCCTTAAGATATAAGATGTCATACGGGAAAACATGTACTGTTTACCACCAAAGCCAGCATCCTCTTATTATCAATTATTAACTTTTTAAGTCACGATATGGCTGAAATATTGCCTATGTTACTATAAATCTTAACTCACTCACTCAATACAGAATCAGTTTCTTGCACGTCAAGTTCAATTCGAAAACGGCATACAACGCAACCATTACAATAACCCGTTTCCAGATGAACGTTGGTAAAGGGTAACAAAATATTTAAATCAATCGGAATAATTTCATATTAAACCACACGGAATGGACAACATACAACATATCGTCAACTCTTCCAAGGGCCACCAGGAGTAGCGCCACCTCTATGAAACGCTCCATTGTAACAGAGCTTCGACTGTACTGCATTGTGTCGCTACGACGCTCCGTCTGCCTGGGTGTGGACACATCAGCAGGTACAAATACGTTACAAGTGATTTTGTGATATTTACTTGGCTAACCAACCAAACCTTTTGCTCATAAAACGAAAACAAATATCAGACCACGTCTATTGAGCTCTTAAACCTGCAGTGAGGTTAGGTGCACTAGAATTAATAAGTGGGCGGAGCTGTTATGTATACGTGACACGTATTTCAGATATAGATAAGGCTAATGTGTGCCACTCCAAAAACTCTGAGCCAACCCAACACATAAGTGTGTCTGAGAGTAACCATACACCAGGTCCCGTGAACATCTCAATGCTTAATGATGACATTAGATCTGGCATCTGAAACCATATCTCCAAAAAAGCACCAGTCGCTGTAGGGAGTTTACTGAGAGCTACAAGCCAAGAAGCAATGGTCACGGTGACACCGACCTTTACCAGGAAGTTAGTGGAAAATGAATAGAAATGCCAATACAAAGGGATGTGGTTAACTCTGTTTATCAAGACAACACATAAGATAAACCAAACATGCGGTTTAAGTGTGCCCACAGCGACACCTCAAAACATACTTCTGCTTGATAAACCAATTGGGGTAAGGAGTCTACCCACTCAACGTGTAATACCATCTAAATGACATTGTGTATTCTCTATTCACCCATTCAGAACAACAGCCGCAACACATATACGAGAGACACCTAAACCTCTCCCTCTATTAAAATACACAAATACCCCAGTGACAACTCATTGTTGGGGTAATCAGAGCTTGATTGCAAATCACTCACGGAATGTTAAAAAGACCAAACAACTATCACCACTTGGGTGAGTACAAGTAGACTTAGTTATACGATAATTGTTATAGCACCAGCAGTACAATAAAAAGAAACATCTTACACAATCGGCACCGAAGTTTCCAGGTAGTGACCTCAGTGGTGATAATCTGGAGACAAACAGTAGCAGGACGACTGCGCATGGACTAGCAGTCACAGGATGTTTTAGCTACGGCAAGACCATGAACAGTAAAGTATGATATGGTATAGTCAAAGTGTGAACTACAATACAAGACAGTACATTGTGATGTAATGAGAATAACGTTTACAGCAAGTACTTTGTCAAACATTGTCGAGGAGGTCCAACTGAAATTGAGTTATTATTTCTTTAAAAATTATATATTCAGAGACTAAGCGCTAGTCAACCCTATTCCTCATCAAGTCGGATCAGATTTCCTCAGTTGGCTGACTGCCTGTTTCCCGATGGCAACTATCGCTGCTCACATTCTCTGGTTATTGGATTGCTTAGACCTGTGTTTGATTTAGTTGGTGAGTGAGTTGTGTTTCGCACCGTCGCCATCAATATTTCAGTGGGAGAAATCACTGTTTTGATTGCTGACTTTGTTTTCTGGCGAGTAGTGCCTGACTCTGATCGTTGGTGAGTGAGTTAGATTTCACACTGTAAAACCCCGTTGTGATAGCATTGCTTGCATTGGATTTTTGTCACTTTGATGAAATCCACAAGCAAGGTATGGCATATTTACAAACACAGAAACGTAATCATGGCGTACCGGGATACGAACCAACCCTCATAAGTGCACGTTCCGCCATTGGATACATATTTGTCTACAGACAACTGGGCCATCTGTGCCCGCACATCCCGATTATTTGCTGTATCCAAATTCGTTATAAATGATTTATATCATATATCGACAGCAACCAATACATTGATAGCCCGCATGTCCCCGTGAAGATCCGGGTTAGAGCCTTCAGCAATTAAGGCTCGCCAACTTGGTTGACGTATGTCATCATACACTTATTATACACTTATGCTCATGACAACAATCACTGGATAGTCTGGCCCAGAGAGTGGCGTTAAACAATAAACAAACAAACACATAGAAATGCGTCATTGCTATATACTTTGAGCAACTAATCAACACCAATGGTTGAACAATCACATACGTAAGGTTTTACAGCGTCAAGCCCACATCGAATGTACATCACTGGTTTCAAAGTTACAACCATTTCAAATCTTCAAGCCCATGTGTCTTGGAGAACCTACAACAAAATGTACATAAAACATATAGAATCTACTACGATTAGAAAATGGTATTTTGGTCAACAGATAATTGCGCAATTTTGAGTAAAGACATTGGACATAGTAAGAAACATTGCTTACGAAAAGGAAAGGTAAACATGTTATATTATATCGTAATATCAAAGCTGCTTTTGGTTACGAAACATTCTTAGATATACTATTCCAAAAAAGAAACGCATAACAAAGAAATCTGTCGCGAAAATGATGTATTTTCAAACATGTATAACTCGTCCACAAACAGACTTTAGGAAATGAATTTTTACATCAGTTAAGAAGAAGGAAATGTCTATACAACCGAGTGGATAATGTTAGATAATGGAGACGTCGAGCGCGATGGTGACGACGTAGCACGGTCCCGACGTCTGATCTCCTGGCTCTCAGTCCAATCTCTCTCAACCTGTTCCGTACCGTTTGACCGGATATCCACCGAAGTCCAGGCACCCTGCCTGCTGTGCTCACACCCGTGGCAGTACGATCACACAAATGTAGTACCCGGATGTACCGATCTTGGGCTGTAGTGGTGTCTCGAGGTCTGCCTATACGAGGGCGGTCATTTGTAACCTGTTTGGTTGTAACGAGCTTTAAGCCGTGATGTCGTGCTCAGACTAACGTTCAGTCTATTACAGACTTGTTTCTATTAGTACTCGCATCGCAAATACGGTACTCCCATCTCCAGTATAGGACATTTCATATCAAAGGTCTTTGTCATGTCTAACCATGTTTGGAAATGAAGTGCAAGTGACTTGGTCTTTCTTTTACGCCAGTCGCCAAGCCCAAGTTCAAACATTGTAAACGTCAGTGCTGTGTGTATGACACTCACAAGAATTACACCCCGATACTTATTACCAATAATGTGGATGTGAACTTAAGCTTATACCTGGTTATGTTGTACTAGTAACATGAGGTAATAAATAGACTGAGTTAGCTAAATAGGATGTGTTAAGCAGTTTGCCTTTATGAAGGAAATGACGTGTTTACTCTATTCAAAGATACACAAACATACATCACATGAGTTCGTTTTGAAAGCTGTACTCATGCTTTGGAAGTTGTAAGAGTAATATTTGCTCTCCCATTATTCACTAATTCACGTATTTACTCTATTCAAAGATATACAAACATACATCACGTGAGTTCGAGCACCTGCTGGCCAAATGTGGATGTTGAAATGAAACTGTATGAATAAAGTATGATTCCTTTGTCGGTATACACCGTGTCATTTATTTTCCGGGCAAGAGTTGTCACTGAGGCGTCACATCTGGAGCTTTCCTCCCCGTGTCTTCCTTAAAAGATTTTTAAAGCTGTATTCAAGCTTTGGAAGTTGTAAGAGTAATATTTGCTCTCCCATTATTCACTGTCGCCGACACGATACATTTGAGGTACATTGCACGTGTAAATGTTCATGCCTGTATTGTACCCCTACGTCGTGTATCAATGTAACGGGTCCTTTACAGTACAATATTATCACTATATGTATGTTCTAGTAAACAGTTGAACTGAAACATTAAGGCATATATCAAACATGTGATCCGCAGTATTCATCCACTTCACATGAAAGCATATTGTGGCATTATTCAATCTTTCCGCATAGTGTGAATCCCAGTCCTAATCTGACATTGATCCACGAAACAGGAAAATGACAGTTACGTCATTTTACATAAACGTGCCCAGGCACTTGGTGATTACATGGTGTGAAAATCAACACTATGGTTGTCTCGAACTACGGATAAGTCGGCTTCTAGTTTAGGTTTTAACAAATGATGATGAAATAACCTAAATCTGCTTGGCAGACCAGTGGTTCCTGATGAGAGCTGAATCGGCTCATTGGCATTGCTGGTTACACCTGCTGATAGATGTTTTTCTTAACATGATACAAACACAGTTTTATATTGAATATATCTGACATATTGGTAATAATGAGGCATAAATTTCCCCTCTATAGTTGCTATTTAGAAACGAGGAAACATATTTTCATTATTTTTATCCGTGGCCTCATGATCATCGCGTGACCTTTAACGTGTTATGATCACTTAGTGCAGACTTATGGTAAACGATGAAGTAACTAAATTTAAATAATCAGTTTTTATTACGATACACAAGAGCAAACGTCTTGAAAGACATTATTATTATGTGTCTTAACAAAGCTTTAAAATATCAATAAATGCACACCAGACATTTGTGAGATACAAAGGCCTCATGTGTTACCGTTCCATATATACTTTATATCAGATCAATAAATACACACCAGACATTTGTGAGATACAAAGGCCTCGTGTGTTACCGTACCATATATACTACATATCAGATCAATAAATACACACCAGACATTTGTGAGGTACAAAGGCTTTGTGTGTTACCGTACCATATTTACTATATATCAGATTAATAAATACACACCAGACATATGTGAGATACAAAGGCCTCGTGTGTTACCCTACCATATATACTATATATCAGAACCAACTGAATTATGAAGGCCTTTCATCCGTTTATATAATTCTGCCTTTTCAAAGAGTCTGCTTTGGTGGATTTCAAATGCTGGTTATACTCTTGCGGTGAATTTTAAGATAAATTTGATTTTTATAGAACGGAAACATACTCAGCCGATACTGTTATCATCTTTAAGCAGTCGTGTTTAAGGGTTAATTCAGTTCGATGAAATAAGTGTAGAAACTGAGTATGAATTGACTGACTCTTTCATCCCAATTTGCTTTCAGACATTCGTTAACAAAGACGAATCCTATTTCGTCCTGGACGAATCCTATTTCTCGGGGGTTGGGGGGTAGGGATCGGGGCGGATTGTTCTTTGGCGTTCATGTCATACATATGTCATTAATGTTAACTGAGTTTGTTTGGTATAATTCAAAAGCAGTTTCTGTAGTTTTAGGCGTTATATATGTTTCGTTCATGATTTAAATATGGCATACATCACAAGCATTTGGATACAGCTAGGGTAGTGCTGAAGGTACTAGGCGACGATATCACATATATACATACGTACATACATACATACGTATGCTGAAGGTACTAGGCGACGATATCACATATATACATACGTACATACATACGTACATACGTACGTACATACATACATACATACATACATACATACATACATACATACATACATACATACATACATACATACATACATACATACATACATACATACATACATACATACATACATACATACATACATACATACATACATACATACATACATACATACATACATACATACATACATACATACATACATACATACATACATACATACATACATACATACATATCCGTAAACCGCTCAAAGGCGCTTTGGCTCTAAGATGGTATTGATATCACATAGAGTTCAAATGCTTCAGCAAAGAGACACGTCTTTAGATTTGATTTAAAAAACACCTAAATCTGGTTGTGTTCTGAGGTGCGATGGAAGCTTGTTCCAGAGGTGAGGGCCAGTCGTCTCGAGTGACCTGTCACCATATGTTTTTGTCCTAGTCACAGGAATTGTCAAAAGACACTGGTCATTTGATCGGAGGGAACGTACAGGAGTATAACGGTGGAACAGAGGTACTGAGGAGCTAGGCCATGTATACTTTTGAAAACAAGGAGTAGAGTTTTATATTTTATGCGGTAGTGGATGGGAAGCCAATGGAGTGAGTGAAGAACGTGAGTAATGTGGTCTGATTTCTTTGACTGAGAAAGCAAATTGGGATGAAAGAGAAACCACGTTTTGCTATGCTGGTTTCGCCAGTCTAGTTGTTGTTAAAACATTGTTTTTTTTACAATGATAATTGACTGTCAGCGCCAGGCATCAACCTACTTTGGTTGTCAGTCAAGGCTTGATAAGGTCATTTCAAGACGATGTTGGATTGGCTACAGTCTCTTTACTCACGACAAAATTTTCCAAAAAGAGATGGGGATGGACCTCTTAAGTGTATCTCTTGCGATAAAATGCTCACCATCAAGCTCCACTGTGTGATAGACTTTTCAAATGAAAGGAACTGACATTATGAAGCAACAAGAAAAGCCTTTAAAAAGGCACCGTTGGAGGCACCTGAGTAAATTAAGAAATTTAGTGAGAAGAACGTGAGACGACTTTTGTGTGAAGCTGATTTTAAGAGCAGACTTGCTTCTATAAGAGATCGGTACTCGCATCGCAAATAGGGTACTCCCATCTCCAGTATAGGACATTTCATATCAAAGGTCTTTGTCATGTCTAACCATGTTTGGAAATGAAGTGCAAGTGACTTGGTCTTTCTTTTACGCCAGTCGCCAAGCCCAAGTTCAAACATTGTACATGTCATTGCTGTGTGTATGACACTCACAAAAAATGCACCCCGATACTTATTACCAATAATGTGGATGTGAACTTAAGTTTATAATTGGTTTTAATGTACTAGTAACATGAGGCAATATAAACTGAGTTAGCAAAATAGGATGTAATGTCATTCCAGAAGTTGGTGAGTTAAATAAAGCATACGACCTTACCTTGAAAATGATGGAAGAATCCACACTGAATCGTCGTTAACCCAAAAAGGTTGTCATAACAAAAAAGGTTGTTATCCATATAGGTGTAAGCTTTATTAGTGTCATGTTGTTTAATTAGTGTTTAAACTACTACCGTCGTGAAGTTGTCAGAGAAAATAAACACAGATGTCTCCCCCTTCCCCCAATTCAACGTTGACACCTCAAACAATTCATTTGATTCCTTCTTTTTCAAAATCTCTAAGTATGAAAATATGATGAAAGAATTTTGCAATATATACGGAGAAGTTTGTGGTGTTTTATAGTTTTTTTGGTATTAAGTATACACAATTTGTGAAGATGGGTGAAGTGGTTTAAGAGTTATGCTCCGAACACAAACCCTACCCTTAAAATTGTGTTGCCATTGAAACAGAAAAACTAGTCCAAACTCCCAAAAGGCACATCTACATGATATGGAGAGGCAGTATAGAATCATTGGTGAAGGTGGGTCAATTAGCTTCATACTTATGCTCCGGAAACGAACTTTACCCTTGAAAAGACAAAGTCCAAATTGTTGCCATGAAAACAGATAAAAATGAAATTTAAAAAAAACTCAAACCCCTAAAAGGCACATCCCCA